GTGGCCGAATTATAATTGGCCACGTGTAAAAAATGGTTTTGCAAAATCACCGTTAAAATGTTTGTTCAGAATTTTGATTTTTTATTATAAAAAAATAATGATGTGGCCGAATTATAATTGGCCACGTGTAAAAAATGGTTTTGCAAAATCACCGTTAAAATGTTTGTTCAGAATTTTGATTTTTTATTATAAAAAAATAATGATGTGGCCGAATTATAATTGGCCACGTGTAAAAAATGGTTTTGCAAAACCACCGTTAAAATATTTGTTCAGATCTTTCCCAACTTCCTAGGAATATTATTGTTAGTATCGATTAGTCTAATAATATTATTATTTTTGAGGAATTACAATATTAAAGTGAGATTACAGATCACTTAACTACTTTAGTGATAATATTTTATTTAAAAGTCTGCTATCATTGATTTATTACTCCATCTTAATTTATATGACATACTTTACTCCTCTGTTCCCATTGTTTATTAGCCCTAATTCAAAGTTAGGATTTCTTAAAAAAAATTATATTTATTGTTAAGTTCGAATGAAGGAGAAAGGAAAGCTTTTGGATGTTTCAAGAAAAAAACTTCCAAGAGCTCGAAATGCCATTAATTGTTTGTAATGCAAATTTGACTTCTTTCAACGCACCTCAATTTGATAGATAAAAAAAACCCCATTTATCAGCAATATATACTTTTGACCAAACGAAATAAGTTGTATATTTGTGTGTTAATGAATATCCGATAAATATTTACGTGGTGTTGATTAATGTTTTAAATTTTATTCTAAAATAAGTCATCTCATTCTTCTTCCTCAAAAACCTAATATGAGGTGTTTTAAATATTGGGATGTCCATAAACAAAATATTTTTCACCATCGATAAATAATGGGTATGAATTTAATACTAAAGGGCATAGCTAACTTATACAATAATTAAATTAAAGTGAAACAAAAAAAAAACATAAAATTTCAATAATACTCTTACTAAAGTAGACACGTTCACAACTGTTGCATACTCTAAACTCCCTTCTTATTATATAATAAGAGAAAAAAATCAGATGTAAGCGCAAAATCTGCTAGGTCAGAATTGAAAATTCACTTATATTATGCTCTCTAACAAATCAAAAGAGCTGTAATTAAGAAAAAGAAAAAAAAAACACCCTGGCACGATTGCTGTCACTATATTATATTCTAGTCAACGATTACATGTGTACCAAAAGAATATAGAAAAATTAAAGTGAGTTTGTGTCAAATTTCTTTTGTGAATTAAAAAAATAAAACAAAAATTAGCTACGTACAAAATTTATAATTAAACAATAAAATTCATTGTTAATTCTATTTAATAACGACCTAACAATAGATTATTAAAAATTATATTAACTACAAGTAATTTAACAACAGATTAATAATGAAGTTCGAAACTAATTTCATTTTTTTTAAAAATGTGCTTAGAAGAGAAAAAAGAGAAGTACATCGATTTCTCCTTGTTCTTTTTTTTTTCTCCTTAGATAACACCTTGTATTTATTTTAATCTTTGATCTAATTTCACATGGGTGATATGATTAAATATGTTACCAAGAAAGCCTTCAACAGCTTCAATTCATCAACTCTGGTGATCTGTTAACACATGGGATAAACATCTATTCTATGATATGAAAAAAAAAAAAAAAACATATCTTCACTAATTTACTACGAAAATTATTGTTAGTTTCGATTAGTCTAATGATAATACTATAATAATAATAATCTAATTTTAATTAAGGAACTTTGACTTATTACTTCATCGATATGAATTCATGAGATACACTTTTCTTTTTAATCTGTGTAAAAAAGAACGTCACCTTTTTCTATAATTGAAAACTAGTTTATGTCACTAACTACAACAAGAAGAAATGGTAGAGTACTATACATAAACTTTATTCCTATACTGCACACAGAGACGGAGAGACTGTTTTCGATAGATCCTTCGCTCAAGAAAAACAGAAACATAGTAATATTGCCTTTTATGACACTTATATAAGGAAACACATGATGAGTATATTGATGTAGTTTCTTATAGTTACTAGTTATAGTGTGGAACTCTCAATAGCTGGTTATGGCGATTCGAATGATAACATCTCGTCTCTCTCACTCTTCATCCTCTTCTTTGGCTTACCTCTTTCAAGGTATCTACTATATAGTATGTATAAAAAGTATGATTTTGTGTTCAAGAAGGTTCATATGAACCCCTCGGCCCTACCTCACTTTATTCGTTCTGATAAACTAGTAGTCAAAGACTCTAGATAGTACATGAATGAAGAGAAGTTCAAAACATATATATGTATTAGAAGTAGTATTTGTGCAAAATGTAGTTTCAAATCTTTATCCAATATTCATATGTATACTATATCGTGTAAAGAAAGAAAGACAGATCTAAGATTTAGAGTCCGTGGGCACAGGTTGTTACCTATTGTTTCATATTGTATTGTATTGTATGATACAACATGTAACAACTATCCAAAAAGTTGTTGAGTGAATTATTGTGTTTTGTTCAGGAAGAAACTCTCGTGTGGCCGCAACAGCAGCTCTTCGATACACCACAGCAGCTCCCATTGCTCAAGACCCCATCAAACCTAGTGTCAATGTAGAATATACTAAGCTTTTTATCAATGGACAATTTGTTGATTCTACATCAGGTTAATTGCTGCGTTCCGAATATTCATTTCTATATGATCTTGACTATGTAATGTACAATTGGGGCTGAGCTTTGTGCAATGTATATATATATATATATAGGTAAAACATTTCCAACACTTGACCCCAGAACAGGGGAGGTGATTGCACATGTTGCTGAGGGTGATGTAGAAGATATTAATCGCGCAGTAGTTGCTGCTCGTAATGCTTTTGATGAAGGACCATGGCCTAAAATGAGTGCTTATGTATGTATATACACTGCTTCTTCTTTCAGTATGTTCCAATATGCTTCAATAAATATTAATGTTTACACCAATCTAATTCTTCTTCAGGAGAGATCAAAGGTATTGTTCCGCATTGCTGATTTGATTGAAAAACATAATGATGAAATTGCAACACTTGAGACTTGGGACAGTGGGAAGCTATATCAACAAGTTGCTACAATTGAAATACCAATGATTGTACGCATACTGCGTTATTATGCTGGTAAGCTAGCCGGTGAATTTAGAACGAGTGTCATCTTATTATATGTATACATTTAGAAATAAATTATAAGCAAATATCAGGCTTCTAAGGTTAATTTGTTCTGTAGGTTGGGCAGATAAAATTCATGGTATGACTGTTCCTGCTGATGGACCATATCATGTTCAGACTTTACATGAGCCAATTGGGGTTGTTGGTCAGATTATCCCATGGAACTTTCCTCTTCTCATGTTTGCTTGGAAAATTGGACCTGCTTTAGCTTGTGGCAATACTGTTGTGCTAAAAACAGCAGAGCAGACACCGTTATCTGCTCTCTATGTGTCGAAGCTATTACAGGAGGTATAGTATAGTAGCTTAGCACCAAACTTTCTTCGTATATAGGAGTTTGTTTTACTAATCGATTTCTCTTCTCTGGAACAGGCTGGCCTACCTGAAGGTGTTGTGAATGTCATTTCTGGTTTTGGTCCTACAGCTGGTGCTGCTCTTTGTAGTCATATGGACGTGGACAAGGTAAGAATCTCTGAATTTAGTTCCTACCACAACGTGTGGCCATATCTTGTGTATTGGCTTTACTGTTGCATACTGATTTGGTTTTGTTTTATACTGCAGCTTGCTTTTACTGGATCAACAGATACAGGGAAAACTATAATGTCATTGGCTGCTAACAGCAATCTTAAACCTGTCACTTTGGAACTTGGAGGAAAATCCCCTTTCATTGTTTGTGAGGATGCTGATGTTGATCAAGCTGTTGAGTTCGCTCACTTTGCTTTGTTCTTCAATCAGGTATTTCATCCCAGTTCTTCTGCATAAGATGCAAGTGGTTAGGTTCATAAATCATAACATAATCCATCGACTCTATTGTGAAGGGACAATGTTGTTGTGCTGGATCTCGTACATATGTTCATGAGAGTATTTACGATGAATTCGTTGAAAAAGCCAAGGCACGTGCATTGAAACGTACAGTTGGTGATCCATTTGAATCAGGCAATGAACAAGGTCCTCAGGTATGAACAAGTCTAAATAGTTGCTCTTAACAAACTTGGAGGGATCACATTTTTGTTTCTCCTTCAAATACTAATCAAATCAGGTTCATGACACACCAGATTAGTTCAGAACAGTTTGAAAAGGTGTTGAAGTATATTAGATCTGGTATTGAAAGTGGAGCTACACTTGAAACTGGAGGTGACAGACTCGGTACACGGGGATACTATATTAAACCCACAGTTTTCTCCAACGTTAAGGTAGATATACTGCTTCACCTCATTAAAAGATAACTGATTTCCAGCATCAACATCTTTATATACTGTCATAATGCATACATTGTTGAATTCAGGACGATATGCTGATTGCAACGGATGAGATTTTTGGTCCAGTGCAGTCAATCTTGAAATTTAAGTACGTATGAGACAATCTAATGGTACAGTATATCATTTACCCTGTAGTGACGAATAATTTTCATTTCCTCATTACAGAGATCATGATGAAGTGATTCGAAGAGCTAATGCCACAAAATATGGTCTAGCTGCTGGAGTCTTTACGAAGAACATAGACACAGCAAACACATTCATGCGAGCATTGAGAGTTGGAACCATATGGATTAACTGCTTTGATATCTTTGATGCTGCAATTCCTTTTGGTGGCTATAAGATGAGTGGACAGGGAAGAGAAAAGGGAGAATACAGTTTGAAGCAATACTTACAAGTTAAGGCTGTTGTCACCTCATTGAAGAATCCAGCTTGGCTTTAAGTCATAATCATCTGTATGCTGTTTTGTATCATGTTTTTGGTTATGAGTTGCTTTGAAAATTCTGTCATGTGAAAAATAAACAGCAATTGTTGAAACATTTCATATGTTGACAATGCATTTCGATCAATCCATTTATTCAGCAAAACATACATTACATAGATGATAAAGAGAGCTGTGTATATACATACTCCGCGGACTATTCAATCTAGTGACAGACTCTCTGAGTAGGTAAATGTGGAGAAGGATAACTAGTTCTAAGAAAGTATAACAATAACAAGAATTGCTTAAGGCAGTCACCACAAAGCTCTTTTGTTCCAATAACTCAGGCTTCCAAGGCACCCGATTCTTGATGATGCCACTTTGCACCCTGCACATCCTTGTGCTTAACCATCGCGTAGGATTCTTCCATAAACACTCGTCAAAACAGGTTAATTTAAGATGTTGGACAAAATTTAGCCACAGCACCAATAAAGCATATGACGCAAACTCAATGCTTGAGCCAATAGTTTCGCAGCTGGGACATGTGCAATAGTATCTCATCTCGGCCTTGGTTGGTGACGCTACTGGTCATAATCCAAGGTGGTGCAGTTTGGAAGAACTTCTGTATCAACTCCAGAAAATCCTGCAAGTTCTCTTCAGGCTTTTTACCTCCAGTCTTCTTCTTTTTCCGCTTATCACACTTGGTGAAAACTATTGTCATTGGGATCTGAAACAGAGCACACACGATACAACACAAAACTTAGAAAAGTGTCTTCATAAATAAACAGAAAAGCATCACTATTTTTAAAAAAAATAAAAATAAAAATTGGTCAGGCGTTTCTGATATTGATTGCTTAGGTGGGGGCAAATGATCTCCAAAGTAAGTGTGTGGGGGGAGGGGGTATTCCATTTTTCTCTAATATTAAGTGTAATAAGGAGTCAACTTGGAATAGGCAGTATAAAAATAACACTTCACAGAATCATGCAGATAGAAAAGGCAGAGAAGGAACAACGTAAAGAATAGGGTAGAAAAATCATAACTTGAAATGACGAGTACATGGCAAAAGAAGGCCTCATATTCACATGATGTGATCTTACAACTTCGTTGTTTATTAAAATCAGAATGGAGATAAGTTAACTGAATCACCTTATTCTCTGCCAGCCAACTTGCATAGTCAAGATCAATCTTTTTTGCAGGAATGCTAGCATCTATGAGGAGGAAGACTGAGACAAGGGTTGGCCGGTTTATGAAATAATCTTTGGTGAACTTAGCCCAATCTGTTCGTACTTCATGTGGTGCAGCTGCATACCTTCACCATATAACAGAAACTCGGCATTTAATCTTGAACACGCAAGTACTGTTAACAATGACAATTGTAGATGAAATTGGCACACAAAAAACATACACGTTGACGATGTCAATTTGAGAGGCATGAAAAGGAACAAGATTATTCTAATGTATGGTTGAGAGTGATAGAAAGACAAGAAAATTTGCAAAATATGATTGAGAAACGAAGTTTGTACAGAAGTTGATCACCATGAAGATAGACAACAAAATAAAGCTGCTTGCAGCTGCGCGCGATAATCTAAATGTGCAAGAAAGAGGCTTTGTTCTAAGTGGATTTACAGAAGAGAGGAATACAACACTCAACTGTTACATAAAGCCACTCTAAAGAACATGTACGTAGGTGCTCAATCATTTAATGAACATCTCAGTCTGTCTCTCGGACAGCTCGCTCAATCCAGTAAACTCAGCTAAAACTTGCATCAATCTGACTATCATAATATGATGTGTAATTGTATTCAATCCGGCACTTTAACCATATCCCTTGACCAAGGCTCAATATCCACAGACTCTGCACTATGCCAGGTTCTGATTCACATTTACTAAGAATCAATTTAATTTATTTATGAATTTTAATCTTTTCTTATAAGAAAAAGATTTCAAGTATATTACTTCTATTTTATGTAATTTAAATTCTCCTCCTCGTGAAATAAAATATCATCTATAATTTAGTCAACTTGTTTGACAGACATAGAAGGACAGAGCACGGAGTTTTGACATTTCAAACTACAACAGGTAACAATGACTTATTCACAAAACCTTATGGAAACCATCAGATAAGCTTATCATGAAAGTGCATTCGGCAATGACAGAATGCGAGTATCACATTTTACAGTGATTTTCTTATGTTGTTGATAATTGTGGTGTAAAGGCAGCATGTGTGCACCTCGACTAACTTTACAGGGTACCTGCTACCAACACAGGTCCAGGTAAATCTATCACCAAGGCTTGGACATATGGGATTTGAACCTGAAACCTTATGGTTTTGAACCCATTTCATTGACCACTAGGCCACACCCTTGGGTGCATTCTTACAATAGTTTTTTAGATGCTGCAGAGAGTAAACAAAGCTTTATTTGAACATTCTTCAGTGAACTCCATACCCGTAACCTGGTAAATCCACAAGATGCCAGCTATCGTTTATCCGGAAATGGTTGATGCATTGTGTCTTTCCTGCAATTAGATAAAAGAAAAGGTTTACTTTAATGGTTCCTTATATCAAATCTGTAAAGAACATCTACAAAGGTAAAACATATTGGAAGCTTCATAAGATAGTGCTGATATGTACGTTGATCTAGCTGCTTAGAATTTAGTTTCCAGTCAAGTTCCTCAGAAAAATTGGCTTGGCTATCTAAGTAAAGCCAGCACTTACAAGAATCGAATTTATCAAGAAAAAAAGGTATGTACCATCAAAATTTCCACGATACTGAGTTACTGACAAGTAACATTAAGTCATTTAATCACACCGTATTTATCATACCTTATGGAGAAAAGCTTACAACCTATACAATTTTTTTTGAACAAGTAAAACCTATACAATTTCACTGGAGTGAATAAAACTAGAGATGACCCATAAATAAATAAATAAAACAAAGAGATGACACTCCAGTATATCAAGTTTTGATTGTGGTCATTCCAGGCGACTCAATAAGAGTTGCTCAGCTCTCACAGTGGAATGACAGCTGACGGTAATCGAAAGAGCCTGAAGCATTTAGAAGGAAATTGGATGAAAGAATGAGCATAAAACTGCTGCAACTGCATTGAGTCTTTCTTCCCATACAAAGTAGCCAAGGTATGGTTATATAACTTAAGTAATTAAGGAGAGTGACATTTGCAGGTTGAGATATTAGCTGGTTATGTTTTGGTTTCCTGCTCATAGGCAGCTTTATATAGTCTTTGAAAGGTCTTTGACTAGCTTGTTTCATAGTCTCCACTCTACTACTCTTATATGAGAGCATGCGCCTTCAAGGTTAAGCAGATGTTGAAAGAACAACTTCAGAAAACCCAGTATTCTTTTCCCTTCATCCACTCCTGTTGTCCTTCTTAATTATTTTGTCTTTACAAACTAGGACCTAGCTATAAACTGTACTTGTGTTCCTTCATCTCTTCCACATCTGCAACTAAGCCAACTATTCCAGCTTCTTTTTTCTGTACAGTCTATAGTCTTCTACAGGAAAATATCCCAGCATTTGTCACTAAAAGATCCTGTGCATCCCTCTCCCTACACTTCATCACCTTTATCAATTTGTTAATCTAAAGCTCCCTGCCCCCTACAACTCTACCCGGTCCTAAGTACATGAACTGTTTTATGATGAGACTATAGGTCCTCCCTCAGTGGGATTAGCAAGGCAAGAGAGAAATGTAAAAATAACCTACCTAATGGACTATACTATCCAAAATAACAAGACTTTCTTTCTTTTCATCTTCATATAGTAACAATACTTGCTATTCATTAGGTTGAGGGTTTACATCACCAAGGAAGCAATGTGGGAAATGACCACTATTGGGTACTGGTTAGGGGTGAGGTTTACTACATCAAAAAAAAAAAAAAAAACACTTGCTCCTCATTAGACTGTCTGAAATTTCAAAGGGGAAATCAATCCCTAAAACAAAGCTCACTTTCTGATGACTTAACTACTTGGAACTTGTTGATAGCTACAATTGATTTGTTCATTCTTCTGTTATTGAATCCTTTCTGCTAACTTTATCACCTTCTAGCTTCACCAAAAACTTGGCTATTAAAGTAATCCACCCAAACTTTACCTTGTGAGAAGTTGATATAATGCTGAAAGCCCCAGTCCACACAAACATGTAATGGAAGGATCATAAATTTCTCTACCAAGTGAAGATCAAACACCCTAAAAATCACATCTTTTCTACAGTCAAGAATCATACTTCATCAAATTTACAGCTATTCAACAAAATACTTCAGCAAAGAATATATGAAAAACCTGGTTTCTTGGAAGTAAGAGCAAGCTTTTTACGCCTCACAAGCGAGTTGAGCAAAGAAGATTTGCCCACATTAGACCTCCCAACAAGAGCAAACTCAGGCAATCCATCAGAAGGACAGGCCTCAGTATCCACACTACTCTTCACAAACTCAGCTTGCTCCACTTGAGCATTCCCAGCATACTTACTAAGCACAATATTTGACCCTTTCAAAATCCTACTACTCAAAGGCCTTGAACCAGAAGAAACATCAGTATCAGGTGGAAAAAACAGCTTTTCAACTGAAATTTCTACATGGGGCTTCTCTAAAACATCTTCAATTTCCAAATTCTTGGTTTGTAACAACTCTGGTGTTTGAAGAAGTGTGTTGGCGGCTGCTGTGACAGATGAAAAATGGGAAACTGGGGTTGTTTTGGATTTGGATAGAAGTGCTGAGGTGATGATAATCTTGGGTGTTGAGTAGAAAATGGAGAAGTGGGAATGGAGCTTTGGAAGATGAGAGATAAACATTCTTGTTTTTTTTTGGGTCTTTCACTGTGGAGTCGCTGCCACCATTGTTGAGTTTTTGCTGTGGTTTGTAAAAGATATTTCAATGTTCTTTTTTGTGTTGGTCCTTTGGGATAAGATAATTACACAACTTACTAGATATATTAGTACAATTAAAAATTGCTCCATAAAGTTTCACATGTGCTAAAATTGAACTTTAGATTTTGGTACAATACATAGTTTTTTCCTTTGAACTTATTTGGTTTTTACAAATAAACACTTAAATTTTATCGCATCCTTTCTTATATTTGATCAAAGAAGAATAAGTTTTGAGCTGACATAGTATCTAGAAACTTACATAAATATACTATATTAAGAAAATATTTATCATTTATAACAATAACATTTTTTTCATTTGACCACTTTTAATTAATACAGTTTTAATACATATTACATAGAATAAATTATAAAGCATATATAATACAAGTTTTATTGATAAAATGTGTCAATTTCTTACCAAACAAACATAATATATTTTAAAACAATTATAATACATATATATTGCATACATAATTCACTTTTAATACATATTACAAATTTATTATAGTATTGTTATATATTACTATAAATGGTAATAAATATAAAATATTGCTAAAATCAGTAATTATTTATTAGAAGGTACATATTCAATATAAAGCAAGGTGTAAGCAAGCTTCTTTCCGACCAGACTGACCTGGCCAATCTAGTATAGCACTGCTAACAGGACGGTCAGTCGATAGCGAAAGCAAAACTTCTCACCTCTCTATGACTCTTTGTTCTCATGACCTCAAAATGATTGACTACATATTCAACTAATTTTTCCCTTTATCTTTCATAAAATCTTAATAGTGTGTGGGATCAAAAAATATTGTTCTAACTTTATTTATTTACATATCATTTTTTTATTAATAGTCTTAAACTATTTTTTTTTCTTTTATTCTATTTATCTGTTTCTTCGTTAACAAAAGATTATCAATTAGCGAAAGCTTGCACTAAGAAGTCATGTTAATTTGAAAAGAGAATGCAATGTTGACAACCAATAAATTAAATATAATCCAATGAAAGAAAGTTGGCAAGCGTGGATATATAAAATTGAGAAAGCTATAGAAAATAATTGTTCGGATAATTGTTTATTTTACACTCTTTAAAGATAATAATATTTAATTGATCTGAAATTATTATCAAAGAAAGTATTATAAATCAATTTAAAGCTAATATATTAACCAGTGATTTAATTTTATTAAGGGGACAACCATTATAATTCCACAAAAAATAAAGCATAAAAATACAAATGACCATATCTTTACGTCAAAAAATCACTCTTACGAATTAAATAACCTCTTTCTCACCAAATTCCAGCAGGATGTCTGAATAGTGGAGAATTTCATCGAAAAACTTGAGCATTGATGTTGACCACCATCGATCGACCTCACTCTTTTAAGTTTCTTCATCATCTTTCACTAAAATAATAAAAATAATACTCAATCCACATTCAAATTTTTTTTAAAAAAAAAAATCGTAAAAAATCTTCAATACTTTTTAGCCAAGAAAACTCAGCTTTCAAGAATGACCGACATATGTAGAATCCATGCATAAGACTCTTTGAATGAAAGTTGATTGTTGAGTCATATTCCTGAATTCCTTTTAAAAGAAATTAAAAAAGAATAAGAGACTATGAAACAAATGATATATTAAGAGAAAAGAAAACTTATATCACAAAACACGAGTGGTACGAAAAATATATTGCATTATTCAAAAATTGGTGTTGGTTATAAAAGTTGTGTTTATACCACTTAGAGCAAAAACAAAGGGGCCATAGTACCCCACCCCTAAAGTTTATGTGTTTTCCTGAAAAAATTGAATACTAGCAAGTAGCAACGACACTATATTAGTGCAGTCTCATAGAGTGAGATTTAGAGAGGATAAAGTGTATACAGATTTTACCATTTTCAATAGACCTTCAACTTAGTGATAACTATCAAATAATTTTTAGTATTATAGATTATTACCTATTTATTTATCAAACATAGTTTTAAAAATGTCTGCCCAAACAATATCATTTGTAAATACTAGAAGCATTATCAACTTTTTGGGTGCGCCAAAATGCTTTTTTTCTTGCCCCTCATTTGCTAGGAAATTTGTCACTCTATTATGCTATTCGAAGATGTGCCTAATTACTTGATTGTCTAGTATTTACATCAACAATTGAGTTCTTTAGAGAGTTATTTCGTGCCTTTAAATATACTTTACATATTCATTTTCGTTAATTTTGGGTACTTATTTCCTCTTGCTTAAAGTCGTTGAATTTTTTTATAGTATGACATGTCTTGTTTCAGTGGCGTAATATGTGGTATTCGAACATTGGCTTAAGACACTTTTTCCACCCATTCTTATTCAAAAAAAATTAGGTATATCTTACATTCTTAAGCAGATAACTAGCTAGTCTTTTTGGTGTCTTGGACCAACAAAGGCTAGTATTCACATGTTGTCTATCAACTATGCCTTTTGACCTAATCTAAGACCCTTACTCCTCATCCGATTATGAACCGTGTGGAGGAACCCTTATATTTTGAGGACATTTTATTAATGCTTGTGTTACTTTAACTGTCATTCTCGCTTGTATTTTATCCATTACCATTTGCACATAAGCTTCTCTCTAAAGTGAAATGCTCCCCAATTAATGTATTTGAACAATTCAACCAAACCACAATTCCACCATTTGTCCGGATTTCAACTTTTTTTTTGCTTCAAACACTTTCATCAATCATCAAAGAGTCCAATCCAAATTATATGGCAAATTCTAACACATTGTTAATGTATGCCGCTCAAATTACAACACTTGAGTCTCAAGGCAACTTTGCCGATTATATGACCGATACATCTAATCTCTCAAATGAACGAATTGCTTACTTTGAATAATTCCACCACATCACAAATAATTCACAATTTCTATAGATTTTCATATAACTTTATAACAATAATGAAATAATTATCCGAGGTGATAAGATTTTTTTGATTACTCCTATTATTCACGATACTCTCTCTTCACTTCACAAGTTTTTCGAATTACAAAATGTCCATTGCTCTCTCCTCATATAAGAAAAAGTTAATTTCTGCTACTTAATATTTTATCCTCAACATCTAACATTTATGAAATTTTCCGTTACTCTTTCTTGTGAAAAGAAATTGAATATAGAAACATATATCCTACAAAATCGAGACGGAGCCAGATTAAAACAAGAGGTTCATATAATACCCTCGCTCAAAAACCTTACTTATTATACATATATTATATTACAACCTTACTTAATAATAAGGGTTCAATTCCTTTTAACTTTCACAAATTTGACATAGTTTATTTTTGGGATAAGGGTCTGAAAAATACCTCAATATTGGTCGGATTTGCTGTTGTGATACTAAACTTTTATGAGGACCTATTACCTCCCTAGACTATTTAATACCGTATTTTTTACCCCTAAACTATTTAATAGTGTATTTTAAAGGTATATATGTGTCCATTACTATTTATAATTTTGCATTATTTTTTATATCCACGTGGGAAAATATATATTTAAAATACGGTATTAAATAGTCTAGGGAGGTAATAGGTCCTCATAAAAGTTTAGTATCACAACAGCAAATCCGACCAATATTGAGGTATTTTTCAGACCCTTATCCCAAAAATAAACTATGTCAAATTTGTGAAAGTTAAAAGGAATTGAACCCTTATTATTAAGTAAGGTTGTAATATAATATATGTATAATAAGTAAGGTTTTTGAGCGAGGGTATTATATGAACCTCTTGTTTTAATCTGGCTCCGTCTCGATTTTGTAGGATATATGTTTCTATATTCAATTTCTTTTCACAAGAAAGAGTAACGGAAAATTTCATAAATGTTAGATGTTGAGGATAAAATATTAAGTAGCAGAAATTAACTTTTTCTTATATGAGGAGAGAGCAATGGACATTTTGTAATTCGAAAAACTTGTGAAGTGAAGAGAGAGTATCGTGAATAATAGGAGTAATCAAAAAAATCTTATCACCTCGGATAATTATTTCATTATTGTTATAAAGTTATATGAAAATCTATAGAAATTGTGAATTATTTGTGATGTGGTGGAAAAGCTATTTTTCAGACCCTTATCCCTTATAAAAACTACTAATAAAATCTCTTACTCTTAATACTAGGCAAAAATCAAGTGGCTTAGAAACAGTGAAAGTTTTTATTTATGTGGAAATTGAGTTTAATGTGTTCAACATTACTTATTAATTTGCGAGGCAAATGTATCATATTCACCAATTTCAAGGGCTATGTAAGTAAATATTGATACTTCCACATCCATGTCACACTAGCCAGAGAAAGCCAGAAAGCCTCAGAACACCAGCAAGCAAAAACTCTCTCCAATACTGACTTTGATCCTTTGCACTGTGGGATTACATAAACCAAAACTGAGATCCATTTCTTGTAGAGACAAAGAATCAAGATCCAGTGGGTGTGCATCAATGGCTCCTCCAGCTCAAACTAATCGATCACCTTCACCTTCTCAACCTTCCGGGTAACAATTCTTCCTTCCTTTCTTTCCTTGCAGTTTTTTTTCTCTCTTTCGTGTACTCTTTAGGATGGAGAATTCAAAACCCCCACACCCAGTATGACCTTTTTCCTGTTTTTCATTGTCTTGTTCCTGACCCTTTTGGAAAAGGGGATGAAATTAATTGTCTTTAGTTGAATTCTTGAAATACCCAAGTGGGAAATACTATTGAACTACTTAAGAAACGATCAAAATTGGACTTTCTAGCTTCGATCATGACATGGGTATTTCCTACATTGACCTAAAGAAATTTCACCAATTCAAAATTCACTAGTTTTGCGTAATTATTCCGTATTAATAACCTGATGTTCGTTTGGTATCATGTGTCTTATTTTATTATAATTGCATAAGGCAATTTTCTGGTTGAAAATGCTTTGCTTGCTGTAAATAAAGATTAGGGATTTCAAAATGGCAAAGGTTGGAGTTTTACATGCAGTATAAAACAGGGTGTGAAATTATGCTGATGTTAATTTTGATTGGGGC